CTTTCAAACTCTGGTTCAAAGTATCAAACAATAAGGCAGAGTACGAGGCATGTATCGTTGGCTTGGAAGCCGCCCTGGAACTAGGGGCAAAATGGTTAGATGTCATTGGGGACTCGAACCTTGTTGTATCTCAAGCAAAAGGAGACTGGAAAGTTAAGGAGGAAATGATGAAAATCTATCACCAAATCCTGGATGTTCTGATTTCCAAGTTTGAGAAGCTAACCTTCACCCATCTGTTAAGAGAGAGCAACAGGTTCGCTGACGCTTTATCAACTCTATTTTTCATGATAGACATGCCTTTAGGAGTCCAGATGCGTCCAATCATCATAGAATAGAGGTATGTGCCGGCCTACAAGCTGATTGCCGCAATAGATAAAGTACAAGATCAGAACCCCTGGTATCATGACATCTGGAACTTCTTGGAAAATGAGGCTTATTTACCAAGGGCAAATGCTAAAGATAAAAGGGCGATACGGTGAATGGCTGCCCAGTTTATCATCTACGGAGGTAAATTGTACAAACGGGGCCATCTGGGAATGCATAAACTATGTGTTGATGTTGAAGAGTCAAAGCACCTAATGGAGGCCATCCATGGAGAAGAGTGCAGAGCGCATATGAACGGAGTGATGCTAGCTCAAAAAATTCTCAGGCAGGGTTACTACTGGTCAACCATGGAGGAAAATTGTATTGGTTTTGTTCGGCGATGCCACAAATACCAGATCCATGCAAACGGCGTGAACATCCCGCCGTCGAAGCTGTACAACATGACTTTGCCGTGGCCATTTTCAGTCTGGGGGATTGATGTTATTGGGGTAGTTACTCCGAAGGGGTTGAACGAGCATGAGTACATCCTGGTGGCGATAGACTACTTTACAAAGTGGTTGAGGCCCAATCCTACGTAGTGCTGAAGGCGTCTTACATAGCCAAGTTCATCAGAAACAATATTATCTATCGCTATAGGGTCCCGAATGAGATCATTTCGGACAATGGTTCCCACTTCAAGAAGGAAGTGATCGACTTGTTGGAGAAATATAATGTGGCTTTTCACAAGTCATCCACATATTGACCGCAAACCAACGGAGCTGTTGAGGCCGCCAACAAGAACATTAAGCACATTCTACAGAAGATGGTAAAAACCTACAGGGATTGGCCAGATAAGCTGCCATTTGCTCTCTGGGGCTACAGAACATCAATTCAGACTTCTACTGGGTAACTCAGTATTCTCTGGTTTATGGGATGGAGGCTGTTTTGCCAATCAAAGTTGAGGTTCCGTCGCTGCAGGTAATGGCTGAGTGCCAGATAGCGGAAGCAGATTGGCAGCAGAGCAGGTTCGAAGAACTTATGCTGTTCGACGAAAGGAGGCTGAAAGCATTGTACCACGTCTAAGGCCATCAACGCAGAATTGCCAGGGCTTTCAACAAGAAGGTTAAGTCTAGAAATTTGAAATAAGGGGATTTGGTGCTCAAAGACAACCGAGCTCCCATCCACGACCCTAGGGGCAAGTTCAGACCTAATTGGACTGGTCCTTACATTATCAAATCTATTTGGTCGGGTGTAACTGTCGTTCTTATGGACCTAGATGGCCTTGAATTCTTCCAACCAGTCAACATGGACAAGTTGAAGAAATACTACCCTTGAGAGGCTCGCTAGGCCGAAAACCCGAAAGAGCGGCCTTGACAAAAGTTAGAGCGCAAAAGGAGAGTGTTAAAACTCGAGTGAACTCGAACCGAACTACGTAAGGCTTGATTCCCATCTTTGGGATACGTAGGCAACTTCATTATGAAGTCCAGCCATAAACACTTCCAAATCAACTGTGTCCATGTGATTGTTTTGGTCATCTTTGTCTTTTCTGCATCCAAGAGTTCGGCCAGATAAGCTGCCATTTGCTTTTTGGGGCTATAAGACATCAATTCGGACTTCTACTGGGGCAACTCCGTATTCTCTGGTTTATGGGATGGAGGCTTTTTTTCCGATTGAAGTTGAGGTATCGTCGCTGCGGGTTATGGCTGAGTGCCAGGTCGTAGAAGCAGATATGCAGCAGAGTAGGTTTGAGGAACTTATACTGTTCGACGAAAGGAGGCTGAAAGCACTGTACCCATCCAAGGTTATCAATGCAGAATCGCCAGGGCTTTCAACAAGAAGGTTAAGTCTAGAAATTTGAAAGAATGGGATTTGGTGCTCAAAGACAACCGAGCTCCCATCCACGACCCTAGGGGCAAGTTCAGACCTAATTGGACTGGTCCTTACATCATCAAATCTATTTGGTCGGGTGTAACTGTCGTTCTTATGGACCTAGATGGCCTTGAATTCTTCCAACCAGTCAACATGGACAAGTTGAAGAAATACTACCCTTGAGAGGCTCGCTAGGCCGAAAACCCGAAAGAGCGGCCTTGACAAAAGTTAGAGCGCAAAAGGAGAGTGTTAAAACTCGAGTGAACTCGAACCGAACTACGTAAGGCTTGATTCCCATCTGCGCAATAGGAGAGTGTTAAAACCCGAGTGAACCTGAACCGAACTATGTAAGGCTTGATTCCCATCTTCGGGATATGTAGGCAACTTCATTTTGAAGTCCAGCCATAAACACTTCCAAATCAACTGCGTCCATCTGATCATTTTGGTCATTTTTATCGTTTTCTGCATCCAAGAGTTCAGTTGTGATCTCCAGTGCAGTGCTATTCAGACAAGGGGAAACTTTCCAATTATTGGATTCAGGGTTGTACATCTCAAGGATAGATCTCGGGCATGTCCAGTTGTGATCCTTATCGAAAATGGTTTTGAAAAGTTTTAATAAAAGTTGATTTTGTTCAAATTAATCTTTTTACAACTTAGACCATTTTTGGACCAAATGGAAAATTTTCAGTACCCACAACCTTCAATTTCATTGATTTCAATACAGAGTTCTCCAACTCTTGATACAAATTGAAGTTATTTTTTATTACATTCAAAAGAAAACTTGAAAGTACATATTAAAGCAATAAACTTGGGGCATGGTTGAGTCAGGTGTTCCTACGTCCCTCCAGAGCTTGTGGAAGCTTCAGATGCTAAAGTAGGCCCGGTTTGTGCCTCATCTTCAAGTCAAGCTATGCATTCGCCAGAAAGGGCACAACTGAAATTGGGAGTAGGGGCCAGAAGTTCTCTTGTCCTCCATGCAGTGGAATATCGAGCTAGCTGTGCGCTTCGGATTGAAAAATGAAGCTGGGTACTCTATCCCCTCTTCTGGGCAAGTCTGGTCATGTCCGAACTGACGCCTGAACTGAAATGGAAAGTAGAAGACACAATGTGTCAAGCTAACCAACTAAATGCCAGGTTGCTGGGACATGCTGTAGCTCATCTCAGGCATATCAAACCAGGGACAGCGCCAAGCAATGTCAACAGCAGATCTGTTGCACATCCAATGGCACCACCATTCCTCGTTTGGGAAGTCAACTAGCCGTGGGCGAAAGAAATAGCCACGCGTTGAATACGCAGGGCAAGCATCCACTACCTTCAACTTATCCATCAGCCATACCTGGGGAGGGACAGCTAGGGTTTCGCCTTACCTATATTCCAAGAGAAGGTTATAAATGATGCAATTGCAATCAACGGTCATAATTTCTTCGTCGAAGCAACGATAGATGTAGAGACAAGCATAGAAGTTGCTAAAAACCATTGCTTCTCTCTGAAGCATAGCATAATCAGAAACCTCTGCAGACTTCACAACCATTAGTATAGGCAAGTGGGTGAGTCTCCACTTGGGTTTCTTCAGTCGCCAAATAAACCGGTCTGTTGCTTGATTTTTCGATGATGGACCCTCTGAACCACAGTTTTCCATCGCCATAGACACTTTTCTTGATCTCAAGCTCCTCATGCTTCCTCTTGATCAATACCATCTTTACAAAGACTGCTTGTTGTTTGTGTTGTTTAGAGAATATTGAATTGATGTGAATTTTTCTTATTACTATGTAGGTGTTTATAGGATTTGGTCTTAGGGTTTTGGGATTTGGTAGATAATGTGGAATTTTGTTTCCAAATTGGAGTAGGTTTTAAGTCTGTAAATAGGGGAGACTGAGTGACATGACAGTCATGTGGCTGGCCGTTTAAGAAAGTAACCTTACAGAATGGGGTTTTGTTGAGTCGGTGGGTTTTGGTTTTTTGAGTTTGGATACTGGATCCAACCAGCTGCATTCGGATTTAATTTAGAAAATTCTATTCCCGCAAAAATTTTATACAAAAATAAAATAAAGAATAATATTTCATTATCATTTTTATATGGGTAAATTATATCATCTAATTTGTATTTTGTGTCAATTTCATCCTTTTGCTCTAGTTGCGTTAATTTTATTTTTAATTTGCCACAATGTGTCAATTCAATACCATTTATGTTTATTAGTCTACTTCATTTGCCTTTTATTACAGTTTTAATTGCATTAATTTTACCTATTAACTTTGCACAAAAAATCAATCGAATAATAAACTTGATTAAAATTAAAGTCAAATAGTCAATTCCCTATTCTCAAAGTAATTAAAAATGGTTCATTCCCTTTTAAATGAATCATTTTGTCTTTAATTTTTGTCCAATTTTTTAACTTTAAATTGACAGATTATAAAAAATTAAAGAATTTGATGCAATAGGGCTTTAAGAACCAAATTAACACAATAAACAAATTATACAGACTATAGATTTAATTTGCCCTTTTTATAAATAAAAATAATCTTTCAGGATGTTTGTTTTAAAGGGAAATGTCCACGTCATTCTATAAAAAAAATTTAATGTTAGTTTATTTATTTATTTATTTTGGTACGTGTACTTAAAATTTTAATAGAGATGTTGTATTAAAAACAAGGATGTTGCTTCAATCCAGTTTGAGCTATTTTGGAGCGACCATTGGTGAAGAGGTTACGAATGGTGAGAATGGCGAAATGGTAACCAATTTGAGGTGAAAATTGGTGATTTTGGATTGACGAAGAGAGCGAAACAGATTAAGAAGAGAAGATTGAATCCTTACTGTAGAGGAACTCCAATGTATCTTTCTCCTGAAGTAGTTGTCGATAATATTCAAGAGCCTCCCTCTGATATTTGGGCTTTTGGGTGTATTGTGCTTGAGATGCTAACGGGAAAGCCTCCGTGGGTTGGGAAGGAAGATCTTGATGCTGAGGTTCTTCTTCGTCAGATTGGGGAAGGTCATGAATTGCCTAAAGTTCCGAGTGAGGTATCAAAAGAGGGGAGGGAGTTTTCGAAGGTTTGTTTTGCGAGGAGGTCTATGTATAGATCGACAGCTGAAATGCTCTTGAATCACTCATTTGTAGAAGGGTTAGTTGAGGATGATGGAGAAATTGAAGAGGGTGAAGAGATTTTAGTTCCAGATGAGGTTGGTTTGTCGTTTATGTTATACGAAACTGATGAGGAGTGCAGTTATTCCTCATCTTCAGATGATTGTACCTTCGTATCAGAAGAGTTCTTTCTTTCTTCTTGGTCAGACGAGGCAGATGAGATTGACACTCAAGAGTTTTCTGGTTTTGCCGAAGAAGGAATGTTGGAAGATCAAGAAAGCACGGACACTACAAGCTCTATCATTGCTCCTGCACTCGATGATGTAATTAACAAGTCAAAACAGGTTTCAACAAATACAATGCAGCAGTGCCCCATTACTTTTACCATTCCAGCCGGTGTTTAGTATTCATCATGTATGTGTTTTAGAAGAGATCATTTACATGAAATTGGTTTGTTGCCCCATTTTTGAAATACAAGGAATTATACAATTTAAGTGTTAACTGAAGTGGATGTTGTGATCTCTAGTTACATTGATGATTGCTGGTTTATACTCTCTCCGTCCCATTTTATGTGTCCTAGTTGACTTTGCTATATAAAAAAAAATCCCTTAAGGAAGTAATGGTTAAAATTTTTTGACTTCTCAAACTAGGACACATAAAATGAATTTTCAAAAATGGGAAGTTGGAAACATAAAATGAGATGGAGAGAGTATTACAAAATTTTAATTATCACTTTTCTGGACAAAACATCTATTTTTCTTGCATCCTAATTTGCTTTATTCTGAACAGAGAATAATGTTTTGGTGTTTCCCACTTTTGAAGTCTTTTCAATTTTCAATTTTCCTAAAAATACAATTGTCTCAATTAAATTATTTGGATTATTGCTTCTGTAAGAGGCTTTATCGGGTTTGTAATCAACTAAAATTTTTAACTTGAGCTCCTATTTTGTTGCAAATAGAGAGAAGTTGGGAATTAGTTAACTGATTGGTGTGTGCATTAACTCTAGTACTAATTAAGTGTACCCATTTGCATTTTTAAGCAGAATTTACTATGGAAGGACTCAAGGACTTCAGTTCATCAATATTGATATAACCATTTTTTTGATGATGCTAACTTGTTAAGTGCTTATCTCACCAGGCAATTTTGAAAATGGTCATTTCAGTGATGCTACATGCATGTGTTATTTGTTTTGTCCTAGTTAAATAGTTAACCAAATTGACGGTGTTAAATTTGAGAAAGAGGGCATGAGTGATCTAATCTGGTACAATTGCAGACCTTATAAATGTCGAGATCTGCATTACAAGTCATGAAACTTGGTCCTTATGGACTTATGACGCAAGGAAATTTGTTTTGTCTGGTTCAGTCATCTACAGCCAAGAACTACTAGATTTTGAGGTCTGATGGATTAAAGTTATCAGGACCTAAAACATCCTGCTATGATTTTTGTCTAGCAATGTTAGAGCACTTCATCACATCAAATGCTTCATCTTTTATGTTCTCTTCTCATCTTCTTTGTGGCATTTCATAGGAATTATGAGATCCCCTTTTCATGTATACTGCACTTCTAAAGAAAAAATGCAGCAAACTGTTATCTACTACATTATCATGTTCTTTTTCATCCTATTGCTAACCCATATGCTAACCCTCTAAGGCTCTAGTTGATTGCTGAGAAGACACAGTAAGAGGAAACTTGTTCTGAATCTTAATGAAAATGATAATGAAAGGCTCATAGAAAGGTTCCATGCTGCACTTTGCCTTCCTTCCCAACAAATGGTCCAAATAACCTCAAGATCAAAAGAAAAGTGAAAGAAATCTGTCAACAAATGAACAGAGGACACGACAACCTATTGTTTCTTATTCATCTTTAGGAGGTAGGCACAGGAACTATTCTGCAGACCTTATGCAGAAACCTTCTCTCTCTCTCTCTCTCTCTTGTTTTGTTTTGTTTTTTTTTTGTTTTTGTTTTTGTTTTTGTTTTTGAAGGGGTTTAGGAAAATCATTTCTACATTCTCAAGAAATGGGATCAGTGAGGTTTCATAAATGAAATTTGCAACATGGTCTGTCGTATGGGATTTAGTTAATTGTAAATATTTTGGTTGTTGAATTGATTTCCTTTTGGCCTGTGTGTGGAGCCATGCACCAAGGAAGCAGTCTATTACTGAAGATAAATCTGCACTTGTCTGACCTTATGCTACATTCAGTGGCGAAGAAATGGTGAAGACACCATGGATCCTTCTTTCACTCTTTCTTTTCTAATTGCTACTAGAACACATGTATCCTCATAGCCTCCATTCCTACCCCTAGTGTCTCCTATAACCTCTTTTTTTTTTTCTTTTTCTTTTTTCTTTCCCCCTTTGCTTTAAGTGCAACCGAACTGATCATGGATTTAATGTTACATAATTTCATAAGTCAGTAATTTGTAGCCTCATGCATAGTTTTGTTTGAAAAAGATTCCACTTGCAGGTAGATTTTCCAACTGAATTTATTATTGTTCATATGTGATGCTACTATAGTAGAGGTCGTTTAAGGAAAGAGTTGTAGAAGACTTTCATATCAACTTACTCATATGGCATATCAATTTCATAAACCAGCCTCAGCATAGTTCTTAAAGTGAGTTGCATCTTCTTTGTTCATTTTCTTATTTCTTTCAATAAACTCGTCACTTAAAGAGGTCTGAAAATGAAACGGGCAGTGGTAGCCCTGGAACACTGGCTTGGTTAACAGGACGGATGAACTAAAACTATTCTCTCTCCCTCTCTCTCAAATCTTGTAGCAGAGATCATTAGGAGGTCCCACATTTTATGTTTACAGTGAAGTTGCAGCTGATGGTAGTAAAGTGGCATTATATTTCAGAATAGTATGGTTGTAAATTTTATGTCCTGCTATAGAAATACTTGCCTTTAGCCTAGAACATACCTTAATGGTGAATCACTTTCTATGTTGGCCTATTGTAGGTAAGAGCCTATTGTAGGTAAGAGCATGCCTTTATACTTTGTTTAGTTTCCCTCCATATCAGTTCTTTATTACTCATTATAGTCTACTTCTGTTTTTTTCCCCTTATGATTTGCATTGTGATTCACTGGTTGTGGTGTATGTGGGGCTGACCTCTTATGCATTCTTCGTTTCTTGCAAATCATCTCTGAATTATGAATAACCTGTGGTTTTCTCTGAAGACAGTTGTAAACTAAATTTTTTGGTAATATGGGTCATTGCTGATCTGGCTAGAAAGTTTCGTTATTCCTCTCTCTCTCTCTCTCTCTCTCTCTCTATTCCAATGGAGGAGCAATGGCAGTCAAATCTAATGAATATTATGTAGCTTTACAGCATCACTTCTTCTGGCAGCTTTTAATTTTAAAACTTGAGATTGAGATGTATGCTTCTAATTCAGTTCCCTGTTTACCAAAGTAATTTTTCTTAGAATGTGTTTGGATCATGGATTTGTGTAGGGATTTGGAAAGGGAAACTGAAAAGGAGGGTGAAATGTGAATGAAATATAGTTACATTTTACCTACATTTCACACACCAAAATTTATGATCCGAACACAGCCTTGGGGTATTATATTCCTTTCAGTTTCAACTATAGACCCTAGAATTTGTCTATGGAATAACAACCACTTGTCAATGGGCAAGTTAGCATGGCCATTGTCACAAGGTGCCATAAGAAACCAGAGGTGGAACGGCCTCCAAGTTAGGAGTTATACATTTCATATGTAAGGAGGCTCCTTTGCACAAGGAGATTCTGTGTACTTGATTTTTCAGTTTTTTTCTTTTATTGAATTAGTACTTACTTATACTCTTTTTTTGTGTGCAATACTCTCTCTATATTCTAAATATTTTATAAATATAAATTTGGTGTACAGATTGCTTTTTAGGTTTGAAGTGAAGGATCAGTAGATGCTTGAATTCAGGGATGAAAATTCCATTGACGTGACATGTCTTTAGTGTTAAACTTACCAGGTGAGTTCAAGATGGCTATATCATTGATCCTGCATAAGTAGATGATAATCTTGTTAGGATAGTTTCAAAACCACTAGTTTCTATTTGTCATCACAATTAGCTGTACTAATAAATATGATTGGAGTACCTAACTTATGCCTTCCTTGTTGGATTTTAGCTTGTACTTTGACTGTAGAGTAAGTTTTCCTATCTAGTTCTTCATAGCTCTATAACATCATGGACTCCATGAAATCTAATACTATATTGTTAGAGGTGGTTTAGCAAGGTGACAGAAAACAAGGTAGCGTGCAGCAACACTAATTTCTGAATTGGTACCAGAGACAAAACAATACATGCAAAGCTAAATAAGTAAATAATGACTGAAATTTTGAATTAATGCTAAAGACGAAGAAGATAGGCATAATTTCATTGTAAACAATTTCCAAGCATGTTGACTATTTCTACATTTTAAGGCTCCATTAGTGGTGCAATGATAACATTATGCTTTCATGGTGCACTTTATGTTTTTTGAAAACAAAAAATAAAAAAAATTGTTGTTGGTTGCATTTTTTACTCTGACATTTCAGACTACATTTTGATGCTGAGATATATTAGAAATATCGTGAGAAGACAACATGCTACATTTTGGCAGTGAGAGGCTATGTTTTTGATAGATAGATTAAAATGTGCAGTTTAACCAAATGAAGACAATATGCTGTATTTTCATTGAGGGACCAAAGGCGTTGTTTGGCAATTGATTTTTGGGCTTTTTTTTTTGCTTCTCTAGAATCTAAAAGAGTTGATGTGTAGTATTTGCTATTTTTTTTTTTTTGGTTAGTGGGAAAGTTGAGTGAATCCCTAGCTTTTTTTTAGCAGAAAACAAACAGGTTTTTGTCTTTTGATTTATTTAACTAAAAAACAACTTTTTAAGAGTTTGTCACATGGCCAAACAATTGTTAGTTTGATACCTACCTCATGTTAGTGATCAGTAACTTTGATTTTTCTGCACTATATATTCAATGAATAATGGAGTCCTAATAGCAACGATGCCAATGTATTAATACTACAGATGGGGTCAAAGTGAAAATTTTTGTAGTGTCTGGTACTAATTTTAATTTTACACCATACCTACTCAATATGTCAATGGGTTATATTTATGTAAATGAATAAACTCTATAAACAAAACCATTTTCTTCTCTCACTATACATTTCTCTCTAACTCAGCAGGGCCAACACTCACATTTTATGGCAGTACACATAGACGAAGAAGAACTAGTTCATCATCATCCTAATAATGTACTGACAATGTCAAATAAACGCTCCCATTCTCTGCAATTTCCTCCAATTCCTCAGCCTCCAATGGCATGTTGCTCCAATGATCCGAAAAGAAAGAACTGAGTCCAGCATCATCTACTGCATCATATGACGAGGATGAGCAAACCCTAGCTGTCTCTCCATCCACCTTTGGTTTTTTGATCACCTTAAAGTTCCAATAATCTGGGAAGGCATATTGTCACGGACTTAGACTTCGCAAGCCTACCGTGCGGCCTTAGATGCCTCTCAACCCTCTTGGTTGCACCTAAGTCAGCCTTATCCACTCAACCACACTAACACACGCAGTTTAGGTGGAAGAATGCCACTCAACCACACTATCACACACAGTTTAGGTGGAAGAATGCCTTCACTATATAAGTTAACATTTACAAGTATAGTCGTTTACAAAGCTTACAAGGCTCTCACACTCACACTCACACTCACAAGTGCCTCTCTCTTAGAGCTCTCTTGGATCTCCAGTTCTCTAGGTTGCCTAGCAAATGAGATCCCTCATCCTTATATAGCCATCCCTCTCCTTAATAGACGGCCTAGATCATTTTGGTCCAAGGGCTACAAACTCTCATCTAGAACATTCCATAGAACTATCTAGGACAACTACCCTATCTACTACAATCTAGAACTCTCTTACACTAGTGTAGTACATGGTAGGCTTCTCCAGGATAATCTAGGATGTTCCAGACCCATCCAGACTCTGCTGGACACTCCAAGGCTCTTCCACATTCCAGAATCTTCCAGGCCACTCCGGACCCTTCTACCACATTCTAGAGTCTTCCAGCATACTCTAGGTTGGTCTCCCTCATTCCGGAACCTTCCAGCGCCTTTAGCATATCGCCCACACTGCTCCTTGTGTCACATAAGTTGTCGGGGCGTGACAATATGAACTGAGTTCATCATCAGTCTCGTGGTATGACAACGATGGCGAGCAATCCTTCTCCTCAGAATCCTCCACAGATAATTCTTCTTCATCCTCTCCGCTATCCTTGCCCAATCCGGCCACAAAAGGGAGATCCAAGAGCATCTGAGCAGTCAATCTATCCGTAGCTTTCCCAGCAAAACAACCCTTCAAAAAGTCCATTGCCTCCTCTGATACCTCAGTCTCACCAGGTAGTTTGAGCACTCCGTGCCCTTTACCAATCTCAGAGAGAATGTCCTCAACTTCTGAATCTTGTTTCCCATCCCACACAGACTTCCCAGTTGACATCTCAAACACAATCAACCCAAGAGCCCAAACATCAGAGGGAGGCTCTTGTTGTAGCCCTTTATCAACCACGGTCTCCGGCAACGAATACTGGAGACTTCCTCTCAGTTTATAAGATTTTGGCATTGTCAATATCTTCCTCGCTTGCTTTGATTTCTTTGCCAACCCAAAATCACCAATCTTTGCGATATATTCAGTGCCAGAACTAGTAATGATCGGAACAATGATGATATTCTCAGGCTTTAGAGCACGGTGAACATAACCAGCGCTATGAACACAATCAAGACCTTCAAGAATATACCTTGTGTAGCGCCTAACATCAGATTCAGGAAATCCGTTGCCACCAGTTTTCTTGATCACATCAGCTAGGGTTCCACCAGGACCATACTCCAACAGAAGATTATATACCATCCGATTGCGATCACTGGTGAAAACCTCTTCCCCAAAGCAACGATAGATGTAGGGACAAGCATGGAAGTTCCTAAGAACAAGTGTTTCCCTCTGAAGCAAAGCTGAATCAGAAACCTCAGCGGACTTGACTGCCATTAGTACAGGCAAGTGGGTGAGTCTCCACCTGGGTTTCTTCAAAGTCACCAAATAAACCGGTCCGCTGCTTGATTTTCTGATGATGGACCCTCTGAACCACTTGTTTCCATCGCCATAGACACTTTTCCTGATCTCGAGCTCCTCGTGCTTCCTCTTCATCAATACCATCTTCACAAAGACTGTTTGTTGTTTGTGTTCTTCCCAGGATATTTTTGTGAATGTTTTGATAAAGTATTGTATGTATTTGTAGGACTAGGTCTTAGGGTTTTAAGGAAATATATAATGAGAGAGAGAGAGAGAGAGAGAGAGAGATTTGATAGATAATGTAGGATTTTTACAATTTCGACTAGGATTTGAAGTCTGGGTAGAGTGAGGCACAGACAGAGGCCAACTGTGTCATGTGCCTTGCAGTTTAAGTAAACAAATCCTACAAAATAAAATGGGATTTTGTTGGGTCGGTGGGTTTGGGTCTTGGGTTGACGTGGAACCATTTTTCAGTTTGGATTCATTATCCAGCTACCAGCATTTGGGTTATTGCTTATATTGGGCTGCAATATGTTTCATAAACCTATAATTCCCATAATATTAAGCTGTGGAGAAGACATAAATATCAATTTGAAAGTTCTGTTCTAACATAAAGTTTATATAAAAAAGAATAATAAAATTAATGTGACGTTGTTGTTTTTATAAAGGTAAATTATACTTATGATTCTTGTAATTTGTTTGTTGTATTAATTTGATCCTCTTAATTTTAATTGTATCCAATTTTACTCTTTAATTTTTTTTTGTGATGCCTCAATTTGGTCAAGTTATATCCATAACCCTTGTAATTTGCATCTTGTGTTAATTAGTCCTAATAGTCTTAATTGCATCTATTTTACCTTTTTAACAATTTTTAGTTTTTATTTTTGTTAATCAGGAGGGGAGTAGGTTATAATATGAGAAGCATTATATCAAATTGAACAACTAAAATTCAATAATAGCTAGAAAGTCCAATAGTCACCAAACCCAACAATCACCACTAGCTCAAATTAGGAAAGAAATAAAAACTATATATACAACCTCCATAGTAGGAAAAAAATAAACACCACAAAGATTATCAAACTCCTCTCTATTGGAATTAAACCCATGACCTCACACCACAAAATGGTGCTACACAACCACTAAACTAAGGGCATATTTGATTAGTGGAATTATAGCATAGGATTAAGATTGTTAGTCCATGTATTTACAATCTTATGTTTGATTGCAAATTTTATTAATTGATTACATGTACGACAGATATTTAATTTGACGAAATTGGCAAATGTTTAATATTGAGAGGAGCTGGGGATTATAATTTCAAGTATGAAAAAAAATAAAATAATGAATACATAATAAATGGTTATCTTACTAATTTAATTAGATAACTAATTCTATACTAATTCATAAAATTATTAATCCTTTCACTATTAATCTTATTAATCAAACAAAGCCTAAAGGTCCTGATTACCCTTTTAATCTTTCACAACGCTTCAATTCAATCCAATTGATAATATCCATAAAAATTGGATTAAAATCAAGACTAAAATAGTCAATTTATTATTCTCAAAGTAATTAAGGGATTAGTGTAAGTGATCTATTCCCCTTTGAATGAATTATTTTGCATTTGATTTTGGTCTAATCTCTTAATAGATATTATCCATTGCACTGAATTCATGCATTGTGTAAAATTAAAGGATAAAAGTTGATGCAATTAGAGCTTCAAGAATCAAATTGATTTGAGACAAGAAGCAAACTGCATGACTAGGGATTCAATTTGCCTTTTATTACAAATAAAAATCATCTACATTTTTTTTAGGGGAAAGATCCATATCAAACACAAATTTTTTCTGTATATGTTGCTATTCTATTAATTTTTTTTAAATTTAATCTTCAATATCAAATTTTGTATGTCTTTCTTAAATTTTAAGGAAGAAGCCCTAATAATTGGATTAATTACTTAAAAGCCCTATTGATAATTTTCATTTTCCATTAAGTTTTCTTTCTTTTTTGTTAACCCATAAAGTCTTATTTTCAAAATATTTATGTTTATATAACTATTTTACACTTATAACAAGAAGGAATTGAGAAGCGCCAATTCATTGAGTGGTAGGAGAAAGTTATTAGGTGTTACAAGTACATCACATGACAATGTTATTCACCAATCACCAAATATTATACCGCATGTCCCAATTCAAAATTGTAGGCCCCACCCTATCCATAAATCATAAATATTTTGAAAGTCACCTAACCATGTCTCAAAAGTACTAGATATTTTCTTTTATTCAAATAGTGTTGCTGATGTGACATTTTACTTTTGTTTTTTGTTTCAAAACTTACAAATTTCATAATTTCTATTATACACATGTATTTTTAATAAAATTTATATTTTTGGAGGCTACACAATGAGATTTATCAAACAAGACCAATATTGAATATAAAATTTTATAAAAATAAAATATTATTTTTTTAGTTATACAAAACTAACAATTTCTCAGTTTGCGAAATTATCTAATAAAATTGAGAAAATTTTCAATTTTTTCCAGTATTAATTGTGAATATTATCCAATATGTTTGGTTTCAGTTTTCTGAATTTAGTTTTCTGAAAATTGAGTTTTTTGTTTTTCGTATTTTTTTTTGTTTTTAGTGAATATTTTTAAAATTTTAAGATTTTTTTTTTTACTTTTTTAAATGCACATTACTTAAATATATCTAAGAAGTAAAAAATTTGTGAAAAAATATTTTTTTAAAATTAATAAATAAACAAAAATAAGAAAAATATATTGAATTTTCGTAATTTTTTTTTGTGTAGTTTTGGCATTTAGTGAATTTTTTCAAGATTTTTTTTCATGAAAATTATACTTTTTAAGTGTATTTATGTTAGGTGTGTCTAAAAATTTTAAAAAAAAAATTGCTTAAAATATTAAAAAAAATCAGTAAAAATAAAAAAATACGGAAAATAAGAAAGTAAATTTTTTTGAAAAGTGTTTTTAAAAAACTGGAAACAAACATGGTGATCAGTGTTTGAGAAAGTTCTTAATTTTTTTTTCTAGTTTTAAAACTAGACAAATTGGGAATATTCTCAATTTTAAATCGGGAAAAAATTGAAAAAAATTAGACCAAAAAAATATTGTAGCTAAGTAAGTTAAAAAAACTTACTATTAAAAATATTTAAATTGTAAATTCATAAGAAAAAAAATACTTTATTTTTATATAATTTTGTATTTAATATTAGTCTTGTTTGATAGATTTCATTGGGTTGATTCTAGAAATATAAATTTTATCAAAAATAAATGTATATGATGATTTAAAATTTTGAAAATCAAAATAAATGCCACATCATCATATATTTTTTTATAAACAATTACAAATGATGAACAACTATTGTTTGAAAGATAATTTTGTCTATTAAAAATTAATAGGAGTTGAAGGAGGAAAAAATGTTATCTAGCACTTAATGGGACTTGTGTGTAAATGCCTCTATTAATTGAATAATGTTATATGCACTAATTAGTGTACTAATTAGTGTATCAATTGATGATGTGGCGTAATTTAAGAGGTTTTTTTTTGTATTTGTAATGTGATTAATGAGTGAGGTCAATAATAATGTCATAACTAGTGTTGATGCACTAGTTAGTATACTAATTGGTGCATGTACCATCACCGCTACTAATTTAATTAACCCTATCTAAATATAATAAAAAAATGGAGAATTATACTAATAGTTATTGTAGTTTGGGATTTGTGTCCATTACAAGAAAAAACACTTTTGGCGACTACCTATTTTTTTTGGTCGCAAATAGTCCACTTTCTGCTACTAAAATTTAACTTTTGGCGACCACAATTTTTTGGTCGCGGAAAATCACCTTTTGGGGACCAAAAAAAAAAGTTGGTCGCAGAAAGTATAGTATTGGCGACCAAAGGCTTTTTTGGTCGCGGAAGATCACCTTTTGGCGACCAAAAAAAAAGTTGGTCACGGAAAGTATACCCTTTGGCGACCAAAAAAAAAGTTGGTCGCGGAAAGTATACTATTGGCGACCAAAGGCTTTTTTGGTCGCGGAAGATCACCTTTTGGCGACCAAAAAAAAAGTTGGTCACGGAAAGTATACCCTTTGGCGACCAAAAAAAAAGTTGGTCGCGGAAAGTATACTATTGGCGACCAAAGGCTTTTTTGGTCGCGGAAGATCACCTTTTGGCGACCAAAAAAAAAGTTGGTCACGGAAAGTATACCCTTTGGCGACCAAAAAAAAAGTTGGTCGCGGAAAGTATACTATTGGCGACCAAAGGCTTTTTTGGTCGCGGAAGATCACCTTTTGGCGACCAAAAAAAAAGTTGGTCACGGAAAGTATACCCTTTGGCGACCAAAAAAAAAGTTGGTCGCGGAAAGTATACTATTGGCGACCAAAGGCTTTTTTGGTCGCGGAAGATCACCTTTTGGCGACCAAAAAAAAAGTTGGTCACGGAAAGTATACCCTTTGGCGACCAAAAAAAAAGTTGGTCGCGGAAAGTATACTATTGGCGACCAAAGGCTTTTTTGGTCAATGGTCACTTTTAGCGACCAAAGGCTTTTTTGGTCGCAGAAAACTATCTGTGACGAGGCTTTAGCGACCAACTCGCGACCAACATATTTTGGTCACAAAAAGGTTTTAGCGACCAAATATGGTACTTTTCGCCACCAAAATGTTGGTCACGAAAAATGTTTTTTCTTGTAGTGGTCATTTTGATCTGTGATCTTTCAATTATGATATATTTGACTCTGAATTTTGAATATCGTTAAAAATAAGGACAATTAAAAATGTCATTTCTTTTGCTATTTTAAGGGCAAAATCATCAAATTGATAAAATATAAATTAGTTTGACAAAAATATATATCAAAAAAGATATTTTTAAATTTTCAAAAATTATTTGCACCCACCAAAGATAAAATTATATAAAAATGATAAATCTTTTAGATTTTTTTTTAAATGTTTTTTTACCAAACTAATTTTTAATATATGTTTGGATGATAATCATGTAATGAGTGGTTATTTTTATTAATTTTTTAAATATTTATATATATATATATATATATTTTACGGTTATAATGTAATGGATGGTTGTTTTTATTGTTAACATATATTTTTGGATAGTTTTCATTTAATGGATGG